CCTTAAAGCAGGATGTGGTCAGGAAGTTCTCAATGGATGGTGCATATCAATCAGTGACACATTCCTACTACAATCTTCATTCTACAATTTAATCTTGAATCAGTTAAGCGAGGAAATGTATCACAGAAGGAAGGACCTAAAGATCAAAGAAAGAGGGAAGAATAGATTCCCATTACACCTGGGGACGTAACACCCTTCATTAGCATATGGTCAAAGGCAGCAGCAATAATAAAAAGGCCCTTTGACTAAAAGGATATCAGCAACATCAACTTCCAAGCTCACATTGGTAGTAAACATTAACTCCACAGAGGCAGACAATGCTAAATAGATTACAGAATTCTTAGTGGGATTGTCTGGTGTCCATGCAAAGGAAGGTGGAGCTGCATTCAGGTGGCTGTAGAGATGTCCCCGGGCCCTGCCATGCAGCTGGAAATTCCTTGCGGCCCTGCCTGCAATGGAACAATACTCTTCACACCTTCCTGTCTTCCAAGTGCTTGGGTTCCTGCCACCCCTGTGGGGGCCGTGATGGTGTTCCCAGACTGTGACCTGGCCCAGCCCGGGCTGTTGTTCTCTCTGTCCATATTTTTACCTTTCAAATAAAAATGAAAATAAGTGAATCAAATGTGAAAAAAAAAAAAAAAAGAGGGACGATCCAACCTGACATTAATCTGATCTGCACGGGACCTTTGTAGACTTTTACCTCTGTACAAATGAATTTGCTTTTTTTTTTTTTTTTCCTATGAAAGGCAGAGTGAGAGAGCAAGAGGGAGGTCTTTCATTTGTTGGTTGATTCCCCATGTGGTCACCATGATCGGGGCTGGGCCAACCTGAAGCCAGGAGCCTGATTCTTCAACTGTTTTCCCCAGGTGGTGGCATGGGCACCCTACTTGAGCCATCTTCTGTTGCCTTCCCAGGCACATTAGCAGGGAGCTGGAGTGAAAGTGTGGCAGCTGGTCCAGAACAGGTGTGCTGACATGAGGTGCAAGCAAGGCAAGCGGTGGCTCAGCTGCTGTGCCACGACAATCTCTGGATGTAGGCAGTGTAACTGGGTTAGCCATAGACCTCACTCTGTGAGCTGCTGCCATCAACACCTGGAACAGTACCGTTTAGTCTACTCATGGCTGCTGTTGGAATCATAGAGATTTCAATCATGTTGTTAGAACCTTCTGGACCGCATGTGATAGGGTGGCTCTTAAAGCATGGTGCATGGGAATTTCAGAAGCAACTGAAAGGAGATGACTTGGAACGGCAGACAGGTTGTGCAACTGTCACAGGTGTTGCAGTGAGTTCTGTTCTTGGCCTCTTGGTAATGAACATTTTTGATGTGGACAATCAAAGAGTGAGCAAATGTTTTACTAAGAGACAAAAACTAGGACTGACATTGTGGCATAGTGGGTAAAGTCACTGCCTATGATGCTGGCATCCTGTAGGAATGCCTGTTCAAATCCTGGCTGTTCCTCGTCTGATCCAATTTCCTGCGAATGCTCCTGGGAAAGCTGTGGAGGGTGGCCCAAGTGCTTGGGCCCCTGTACCCAGATGGAGGCCTTGGAGAAGTTTCTGTCTCCTGGCTTTGGACTGGCTCAACTTCAGCCATTGTGGCCATTTGGGGAGTGAATGAGTGAATGGAAGATCTGTCTCTGCTTCTCTCCCTGTAACATTTCAAACAAATAAATCTTGACACACACACACACACACACACACACACACACACACAGAGAGAGAGAGAGAGAGAGAGAGAGAGAGAGAGAAAGAGAGATATTCCTGCTAATCAGTGGAAACCAAGAAGTGTTTTGGTTCAGGCCAGATAGGAGAGTTTACAGAAGGCCTGTAGGTGGTCACTGCCCCAGGATCTCAGTTTTTCACACATCTGTGTCAGGGATCTGGTTTCTGGTTGACTGAGACATGTTTGTCTCCCATACATGTTGGGAAGTAGCTGTGGTCTCTGCTGAGGCTATCTCCCTATTGGGATCTGCTTTGGTGTCAGAGGTCTGGGTCTTTTCATATATCATGAGCAAGTGGGCAGGATCTCTGATCAGGTGAGAACCAGTATCTTGGGGACTGGAAACAATGGAAAGAAGTGATCTTGCTGATGGCTTCATAGATGTCACAGTTGGAAAACGTTGCTGACCCGCTAAAAATGTTCTGATGCCAGAACCTAGTCTTAGAGCTCTCTTTGGGTCCAGGGTTGTCCCCTTCTGATCTCAGGACACACTGCCTCCCCTATCCATTTGCCAGTTTATCCTGTTGCTGCCTCCTTCCACAGCCTGCCATTGCAGACAGCACAGCTCTGCTGTCACAATGTTTCCACCGGAGCCTGAAAACCTGGACTCAGTATATTCTCCAGCCGCCTCTGCAGCTCCCCCTCCCCTCATGCTGGCTTAGGGGAGGGAGAGAGCACATTTAGGATCTGGAGAAAGCATTCAGTAGGTTCTCTTTCCCTGACTGCTGCCTTTGTGAAATAAACTCTCCTTTTTTTCTGCTCTTGTCCATGTGGATCAGCTGTCCAGTGGCGAGCAGCGAGGGCCCAGTGATGTGTCCAGTGACACAGTCAGGGAGCAGGTGTCACAGGCGAGGAGCCAGGTATCAGCACGGACTGTGACGAGGCAGGAGGGAGAGTCACTTAGCCTGGTGGGAATGTCTGGATCATGAAGATGAAGGTGGTGTCGGGCTGTATGTGTGAAAGCTCTCTAAATTTTAAAATCAAAGACTTGCAGATTTCTCATGTCAGTGAACTTTCAATAAAGCCACACCAAAGCTGTAACCGCCACAACATTTGTTCTATCTCCTGTCCCTCATCCCAGTCTAGAGCTAATGGATTCAGAGTCCTAAAGTTTATCAGCTTTGCTTCCCTTTCCAAACATGGCTGTCCTCATATCTGCAGTCCTTGAAAAGTACACCTTGTAATCTCAGTTGTTTTTCATTCTATAAAAAGCATGTTGTGGGAGTGGGTATTTAGCCTGGTTGTTAAGACATTGCAATGCCTTGGACTTGATTTTCAGCTCTAATTCCTGGTCTTAGATTCTGGCCGGGGTAGACCCTGGGAGGCAGTGGTGATGGTTCCTGCCACTTACATGGGAGACCTGGATGGGGTTGCTGGTTCCTGGGCCTAGCCCCAGTCTAGCCTTGTCTGTGGGCATTTGAGGAGTGAACCAGTGGATGGGAGTGCTCGCTCTCTCATGTCTCTATTTCTTGGTCTGTGCTCTTCAAATAAAAAGAGGGATGAGAACATTTGGTGCAGTGCTAAGATGTATCTTGGACACCTGAGCCCATATCAGAGTACCTGGAACCTCCAGTTTCTGCTAATCTATACTCTGGGGTGGAGTGGGGGTGGGGACGATGAGGTCTCCCTGCCATCCACATGGGAGACCAAGATAAACTTCCAGACCCCAGGTGCTAGGCTATAGCTTGACTCAACTTCAGCTGTTGCAGGCATTTGGGTATAGACCACCATATGAAAGATCTAGCTTTGTGTCTGTCTTTCAAATAAATATCTACAATAAAAAAGGCATTAAATTGCACGTAATATTCTGGAACCCACTGTTTTTCTCCTTTTCTTATATCCCTGGGAAGTGTTTGCATGCGGCATGTCGTTGTGGCTCAACATAGGCTGACTAACATACAAATGTCTTACACATCTGCATCCACTCACTTTGGTGGACCTTTGGGTTCTTCTGGGTCCTTGTTTTTGAGGATTGAGGATAAGGATGTCACACATATTCTCCTCCATGTTCCTTTGAGCACAGGCACAAGGGCTGCTCTCACAGACAGACCACGGGGGGACTGTGGTGTCAGCTGGAGTTCAGCTTCAGGAGTCGCCTCTGCTTTAACTTCATCTCCCTCTATACTCTGTAGGCGCCCTGAGCACCCTGACTTCCCTCTCTTGAACAAGCCAAGTCCATTCCAGCTTCCGGATCTTGGCACTTGCCATCCCTTCCACATGAAGTGTGTTTTCTTCAGGACTACACTCGTCTGGCTTTTCTTAAAAACATACTTTCATTTTATTTGGAAGGCAGAGACAGTCACAGAGGGATATCTTCCATCCATGGATTTATTCTCACAAATGACCACAATGGATGGAACTGAGCCAGAGCAAAACCAGGAGTCAGATATCAGTCTCCCATGTGGGTGGCGTGAACCCAAAGACTCCGGCCATCAGCTGCTGCCTCCTAAGGGGTGATGAGCCAGAAGCTGGGATCAGGAGCAGAGCTGGGACTTGAACCCAGTCACTCTAACATGGAATGCGGGCTTTCCAAGTGGAGTTGTAATTACTGGGCCAAACTGCCCCTCCCTTAACTGGATTTGACTTCTTGTTTTAGGACTTGACCAAACATTGCCGGATCAAGCCAAATATCAGTCGTCCTAGCTTTACTCTGAGTTACATCCCCTCCCAGCCCAAGCTCCCGCACTTCATCTGCTATGTGGCACCTGTTCGTGGGGCTAGACACGCTCTTTATTAAGTGCTGTTGATTTGTCGCTGTCTTTCCCACTAGACTCAGGCTTCAGGAGGGTGCTGAGCTGCAGTCCCCAGAGCAATGCCTGATCTACACAGAGCAGGTGCTCAACAAGATCTCTTTGTTGTGGTAGGTTCAAATATGATCCCACATTAAAGATGGACCATCTAAGACTCAGAGAAGTGAAGCTGTGAGCCCAAGGTCTCAGAGCTGGGAGGTGGCCCAGGCAGAAGGTGAATCTAGGTTTGAAGGATTCCAGCACCCATGTTGCTTCCTGAAGGAGGTGACATGATTTGATGCCAGCTTTTTGTCTTGCTCCCCTGTTATTGATTGACCACCTGTGCCACTTGTGCAACCACATGATGCAAGGCACCCTGAGTAGTTTTGCTGGTTGTTGCTTTTCCATTTGCAGTGAATGGGGACTGTGGCCTTGGACCATGGGAGAACTGGTGCTGCATCACCTGTTCTGGAGTGGGGCCCAGTCCAGCCCCCTCTACCCTATATTAGAGACCAGACGCTCTGTCTTTTGTTCATATAATCTTCAAACTGATGATGCTCCGGCTGCTGAGCTCCCTCCTCCTTGTGGCCCTGGGTAAGCCCCTAGCCTGAGTCCATGCTCACTGTGCTGCCCTGGGCAGGAGCCCGGAAATCTGCTCCCCACCCTGGGTCCCATGATCCCAACACTGGCTTCCTTAGGAGGGGTCTCAGTGTGTACCTGGGGCACAACAGTAGGAGCTTTCATCTTGGTGCTGGGGAGGAGAGAGGAGGAGAAGTAGGGGATGGCCCAGCTCAGGAGAAGGACTGCGAGCAGCATCAAGAGCTGTGGAGGGAGTCCTTGGTGGAGCAGTGGACAAAGCCTTATGGTTAAGAATCTGACTCTGTGCTTAGTCTACGTGGGGTGGAATTTCCACTTCTCTGCTGAATGCTCCAATTCTCCACTCACATTGCCCCCACCCAGCTCCATAGCCTGTGGTCTGGTCATTTCCTGGCCTCTCTGCCACATTGCAGCTCAGGGCTACCTCCTCTGAACAGCTCCCGCTGACAGACAGGCTGAGTTACACTGAGAACCTAGGCAGTCTGACTTCACAACTGCTACTCTTAAGAAGTGTTTTAAAATGTATGTATTTTATTTGAAAAGAGGGTGAGAGGGAGTGGGAATAAAGGGAGGGAGGGAAGGAAGGAGAGAGGGAGAGGGAGAGGGAGAGAGAGAGAGAGAGAGAGATTGATTGTGCAATTCACTCCCAAACACTTGCAACAACCGTGGCTGGGCCAGGCTGAAGTCAGGAGCCAGAGGGTGGCAGACCTAGGCACTGAGCCATCACTGCTGCCCTAGGTGTATACCTGGAATAGGAAGTGAGTCTGTTCCTCAAGTGAGTCTGTTAATCACTGTGATATGGGATGTGTACATCCCATCCCCATGACACCACCTGCCTGCCCCAAAGCTCCCACTTTCTGACAATGGCCAGAACTGTGAGAGGTCTTATTTATTTATTTTGAAAGGCAGAGTTACCCAGAGAGAGAGGGACCTTCTCAGATGGTCTCAACAACCAGTGAGGGGCCAGGGCGAAGCCAGGAGCTTCATCTAGGTCTCTCCTGTGGATGGCAGGATCTCAAACAGTTAAACCATATTCCCCTGCTTTCCCCAGGACATAGGTAGGGAGCTGGATTGGAAGTAGAGCACCTGGGCATGAACCAGTGCTCAAAAGGAATGGTGGCAATTGTGGGTGGCAGCTTTACCTACTATGCCACAACATCAGCATCCAGGTATTTCCCACTCGTTCTCTTCCTCCCTCCCCCCTTCTGCTCTTATTTCTCTTCTTTCTTTCTTTCTTTCTTTCTTTCTTTCTTTCTTTCTTTCTTTCTTTCTTTCTTTCTTTCTTTCTTTCTTTCTTTCATTCTTTCTCTTTTTTCTTTCTCTCTTTCTCTCTTTCTCTCCTTTTCTCCTTCTCTCCTTTTTTCTTTCCCTCCCTCCTTGCCTCCCTCCCTCCCTCCCTTCCTCCCTAAGATTTATTTGTTATTTTCATTGGAAAGGCAGATTTTTTTTTTTTTTTTTTTTTTTTTTTTTTACAAAGAGAAGGAGAGAGAGAAAGGGAGACAGAGAGAGAGATCCTCCATTTATTTGGTTCACTTCCCAAATGGCTGCAATGGCTGCAATGGCCGCAGCTGACCCAATCTAAAGCTAGGAGCCAGGAGCTTCTTCTGGGTCTCCTTGTGGGTGTAGGGTCCAAAGGCTTTAGGCCATCCTCTACTCATTATTATTTCTTTAAAGATTTATTTTTATTATTTTTATTGGAAAGGCGGATATACAGAGAGGAGAGACAGAGAGGAAGATCTTCCGTCCGATGATTCACTCCCTAAGTGAGCGCAACGGCCGATGCTATGCCGATCCGAAGCCAGGAAACTCTTCCAGGTCTCTCACGGGGGTGCAGAGTCCCAAAGCTTTGGGCCGTCCTCGACTGCTTTCCCGGGCCACAAGCAGGGAGCTGGATGGGAAGTGGGGCCACCGGGATAGAACCGGCACCCATATGGGATCCCGGGCGTGCAAGGCGAGGACCTTAACCACTGCGCCACCGAACCGGGCCCCATCCTCTACTCATGTCCCAGGCCATATGCAGGGCGCTGGAAGGGAAATGGAGCAGATGGGGCATGAACCGGTGCCCATGTTGGATTCTGATGCATGCAAAGGGAAGAATCAGCCAATTGAGCCATCATGCCCCACTCTCCACAAAAGTAGTTTCAAGTGTCATCTCCAGCCCTCCCATCGACCAAGGCTGCATTTTGATATCCATCCTTGATGTTCTGAGACTATGCAAACCCTTGATTGAATCCCAGTGCTCACAGCTCATAGCTGGCTATTGAGGGCAAGAGAGGGAAAGGAACTTGCCTGGGCTCACACAGCCCGCTTGTGGCACTCCAGGAGCGAACACTTACTTCTTTTTCCTGTTGGGCCCCTCTGGTTGATTGATGCCTCTCCTCTATTCTCCAGCCTCAGGCTCTGGCCAGTCTTTCCACAACCCATCCAGCCGTGTGGTCAATGGTGAGGACGCAGTGCCCTACAGCTGGCCTTGGCAGGTGAGAGCCCCACCAGCTGTACTGATCCCACAGTGGACTCTGGATGCCAAGTGCTGATTGTAAGGTCTCTAGCCTTGACCCCATGGTTCCCTTTCCAGTCCCTGCTTCAGCTTCCCAGGGTACTTGGACAGTCAGCTTTACATGGTGGCTTTGCTTGTTGCAACTAGAACCCTTACAAGGTTGTTAGCAAATGAAAACCAGATTTGGAGCCAGGAAAAGGCTTATCTCCAGGGGCTGGAGCAGTGATAGAGAAATCCAGGTACTGCATAGAGAGGCAGAGATGGGGACTCAGTTCCAGTTCCTTGAGTCCCACAGCAGGACTCTGAGTTCTGGAGCACAGAGAGTGGAGAGTTGGATCAGGGCAGTGGAGGGCAGCACTGAGGGTGAGGCTTGCTGTGCTGTGGACCATAGCAGCCATTATCCACATGGGGCACTGAAATGAGAATTAAGTAATTTCAATCATGTCTAACTCTCAGCATCTCCCTGCCAGCCACATTTCCAGTGTGGCTAGTGGTTCCCACCTTGAAGGCAGAGAGAGAACTTGTCTGCAGCTTGGAATAAGGGGATTCTTAGCTTGGGGATTCTCAGGAGACAAAGTTTGGGGCTGCCCTAGAGGACAGAGAATACTGGAGTCCTCAGGAAGCTTATAGGGCCCAGGGTGAGCAGGCTGGAGAACGTCAGTGATTCCATGGATAAGTGATAGGGTCACCATGAGCAGGTGTGCAGGTTGTACAACAGCACTCTCTCGAGTTGTGCAGTGCGCATCCTGCATAGGAGTCGTCACTTGGGCCAACACCTCTCAGACTCTTTTTTCTTGGCGCCTAGGTCTCGCTGCAGTATGAGAAGGATGGGGCCTTCCACCACACCTGTGGCGGGAGCCTCATTGCCCGTGACTGGGTTCTGACTGCCGCCCACTGCATCTCGTGAGTTCTTCACTGCCCTCATCCCTGCCCTGTCCTTTGTCCCTGTGTGAAACCAAGGCAGGCTGGGCCAGCAAGTGACTACGATGTGAGACCCAAATGATGTCACTTCTACTTGCAGGAGCTCCAGGACATACCGGGTGGTGTTGGGTGAGTATGACCGGGCAGTGAATGAAGGACCCGAGCAGGTGATCCCCATCAATGCTGGTGATCTCTTTGTGCATCCAAAATGGAACTCCATCTGTGTGGCCTGTGGGTGAGTGAGCTCCCAGCCTGGGATCAGGCTCCTGTGTTCTTCTTTCCATGACCATAGCTAATTTAGGAAACTCCCAGGGACTATGGGGAGGGTGAGCAGCCTGAGCCCAGCTCCCACATACTGAGCAGAACCTCAGAGACCAGCAGCACCAACCTCCCTCCCTGCACAGGGGACAGCAGGTTCAGAGAGAGGCAGGAAGTCCCCCAGGGCTGCTGGGCTCAGTGTCCCTGGAGCCCAGGACTCTCAGGCCTCTTCCCCAAGTCCAAGGTGTCCTGTGCTTAGCAGAGGTTCCACAGCACAGCCTGGGTTCCTGGGTATGTGGGTAGAGGAGGAGCACTGGATTAAGAGTCAGGCTGTGGGTGTCCCTCCCTGAGTGTCCTGGGCAGTCAGTCCCTGCTTCACTTGTCAAGGTGACCCTGTAGAAGGGCTTCAAGGTGGTGGTGAAGGGCAGGGAGGCCCTGCTCAGTGCTCACCTGTGTACACACCTGTGTGTCTGGTGGCTCAGCCTTTTCTGGTGAGAGACCATAGGAGGGAACCCATGCGAATACAGTACATGAGTGAAGACACACAGTGATGGAGACACTTGCCCATCCTCGCAGGACTCCTGGGGCAGGAGGAAGGCAGGTGAAATCCAGGCCAGATGTCCTTAGCGACAGCGATCTTCCATCTGTTGGTTCCCTTCCCAAGTGCCTGTAACAGTCAACAAGGCTGGGCCAGGTCAAAGTCAGGAGCCTGGATTCTGTACTGGTCTTCCAAGTGGGCTGGTAATGCCCCAGGTCTTGAACCTTCGCGTGCTACTCCAAAGATGTGCATTAGCAGGAAGCTGGGATAGAAAGTGGACCCAGGAATTGAACCCAGAGACTTCCACGTCAATGCAAGCAGCTCTAATGCGTGTTTCAAACTGTGTGTCACAGTCCTCCAGGGTGGTATGTTACAGTATGAGGACCACAGGTGGACACCAAAGATGATTGTGAAGGCTGAGGGCCGGCGTAGGCTGTAGGGCAAGGAGATCCTGAAGGCTGCTGGACGTTAAGGAGTAGATTTAGGGTACAGAGGAACAGTGAGGGGTCTCTCAGAGGTGAACGCCTGGGTGTCAGGTCCAGGGTGGGACCTGGTGCACTGGAGGACCAGGCTCAGTGTGACTCTTCCTTCCCCACAGCAATGACGTTGCCCTCATCAAGCTGTCACGCAATGCTGAGCTGACATCTGAAGTCCAGCTTGCTAAGCTGCCTCCTGCAGGGGAAATTCTGCCCCACAAAACACCCTGCTACGTTAGTGGCTGGGGCCGTCTCACCAGTATGTGTGACCAGGGAATGGTGGACTTGGGGACTTGGAGTGGGTGTGCATGGCTACACCAGGGTGGGTCATTGGGCTTTTCTCCTTCTTTGCTTGCCCAAATATGAATGAAGAGTCTCTTCAGGGCAAGGTCCAGATGTAGAGGGGCACAAGGCATTTGGATGGTGGAACTGATGTAAGCAGAGCCCTGATCAGGCTAGCAGAGCCAAGTGCGTTGAATACCCCATACCTGGGAAGCCATTCCTGGCCTTCATGTCTTTCCTCATCCCCTTTGCTCCCTGTCTCTGCAGCTGGTGGGTCACTCCCTGACAAGCTACAGCAGGGGCTGCTGCCTGTGGTGGACTACGCACACTGCTCCCAGCTGGACTGGTGGGGCATCAGCGTGAGGGAGACCATGGTGTGTGCCGGCGGGGATGTCATCTCCGGGTGCAACGTGAGTCACCTTGCAGCTATCTCAGGACGGGACTCCATCTCCATGGAGTTGAAGGAGCTGTCTTCTCTGCTGCACAGCTCACATACTCTGACTGCTGTCCCAGCTCACAGGTCCCCCCCCTCCCACCCCGGGACCATCACTGTCCCTCCTCCTGCTCAGGCTTCCCCAGCAGCACAGCAGGCACACTCACACCACCACCTTGAGTCACCCACTCTGGGCTCTGCAGGGATCCTCAACCACTGTGCTGTGGCAGCTGAGTCCTCCTAGGCAGCAGGGAAGGTGCTGCCAGCAGGGGGCGCTGGCATCTCTCGGGGCTCCCTCTGTGCCAGGGGCTGTGCTGAGGTCCTGTGTGGGTCCCTTCCTGCTCAGCAGCTGTGGTAGCACAGACCCTGGTCCTGGCCAGCTGAGGCCCTGAGGCTGGGAGAGGTGCAGCAGTGTGGGTGTGTCCGCAACCCCCAGGTCAGGGAGAATTCCTTCCAGCTGAGACATGGCAGTTCAGTCCTCACTCCTCTGACCATCACAGGGTGACTCTGGAGGACCCCTCAACTGCCCTGCAGCAGATGGCTCCTGGCAGGTGCATGGCATTGCTAGCTTTGTCTCCTCTCTTGGCTGCAATGCCCTCAAGAAGCCCACGGTGTTCACGCGTGTGTCAGCCTTCAATGACTGGATTGAGGCGGTAAGGACTGGGCAGCCAGGATGACCCCTTGGTGGGTTCTTCCTGAGAGGGGTTAGAGGACGGGGGAAGGAAGGGCAGATCCAGGTGAGGGACTGCTGTGGGGAGGGGCCTTGGAGACATTCCCTAGGGGCCTGGGGATGTGTTCTGCTCTGTGTGGCTCCAGAACTTCCCAGGCTTTGGGTGGAGCTTTGTACTTCCTTATTCAGTGAGGGTTCCTCAGTGTGTCCTCTGGTCTGGTCCTTGTCCTAGAGGACAGAGGGACATGTGGCCATCTGGTAGGGGAGATGTGAAATGAACAATAAAGGTGAGGGATGGTGAGAATTGTGATGGAGGAAGCTAGGGCCCAGGCCTCAGCATGGGACAGCCACAGAAGGTTGATATGGTATATGATAGCAATAGTGACCGTCCCTTGAAGACCAAGGACAGTGATGGGAGCCTTAGTGGTTTAATCTGAGCCACCATGAGGACAAATCCTCCGACTGCTCCTACCATTAGAGAGAGGCTGAGGCTGAAAGAGGACAAGTCATTCTCCCAGGTCACACAGGGAATGAGTGGTTATGATGGGGGATGACCCCTGTCCCATGTGACTCCAGAACCTGTGATACTGATGTAATTTTACTTGTCTTGTCCTTGTTCTTTTCTAGACCATTGCAAACAACTAGGATCAAAACCCAGCTGGCAGTGTCCTTCCAACATCCTTCATAGAGAATAAAGATCTCTAAGCAGGTCCCGAGTTGGTTCTCTTTTCTCCATTGCCTCTTCCCCTCTGGCTGTTCCTGAGATCTGAGCGCTGATGTGCAGAGATGAGACCAGAGGCAGCCTCTCATGTGAGGACATGAAAATCCTGGGGCCCAGGGAGAAGGGGTCATGATGGGGTGACCACCCTGTTGGATTTCCTGGGATGAGGGTTCTCAGATCCAGGACTTCCAGTGTGGACACTGAGGCAGTCCTAGGACAACAGGACAAGCAGGTCCCCCAGGATAGAATCCCCAGAGAGCAGTGGCTTTTCCATGCAGGCACAGCACACAGTGACACCCGTGGAGAACTGAACCTTCCCCTTGGTTGGCAGGCTAGTGGTAGAGTGGAAGGACCTGGGGTTTCTGCCTCCACTGCCTGTGGAGGGCTGTGGTCATCCATTCACTCAATATTGTCCTTTCCTTATTTCAGAGGAGGGCCCTGACAGGAAGGGACATGTGGTCCTGCTCTGAAGTGGGTCATTATTTAAAGAGAAATGTGCATGGTGGAGGTGTTCAGGAAGCAGTGACTGGCTTCCTACGCATGGCAAGCTGGGAGTCCAGATGAAAGCAGAACACCCCAGGGACAGTCCTGGCCACAGAATAAGGGCACATACAAAGACAGGTGTGCTGCACACAGAGGCAAGTTCTGCACACAGGCTGGAGCCCAGCAAAGAGCTGAGCAGTTCATAACAACCCCTGCTTGGCAGGCAGGAGGAACAAAAACACAGCCCTGTTCCTAGTGTTGGCATCCCCTCACTGCACAGACTGTCATGGCTCCAGCAAGGACAGGGCAATCCCTTCCCTTTCTCTCTCTCTCTTTTTCTTTTTAAAGATTTATTTTAATTTGAAAGGCGAATTTACAAGAGGAGAGATAGAGATCTCCTAACCTCTAGTTTACTTCCCCAGCGGCTGCAAAGGCTGGAGCTGAACAACCTGAAGCCAGGAGCTAGGAGCTTCTTCTGGGTCTCCTAAATGTGTGCAGGGGAGGACTTAAGAACTTAAACCATCCTTCGCTGCTTTTTCAGACCATACAGAGAGAGCATGGAAGTGGAACAGCCGGGATATGAACAGGGCCCCTATGGGATGCTGCTGCAGGCTGAGCATTAACCTATTGAGTCACTGTGCTGTCCCCAATAATTCACTCTTAAAGAAAAGATTTATCTATTTTTATTGGAAAGTCATGTTTACAGGGAGAAGGAGAAACAGAGAGAGATCTTCTGTTTGCTGGTTCACTCGCCAAGTGGCCGTAATAGTTGGATCTGAGCCCATTTGAAAACAGGAGCCAGGGGCCTCTTCTGGGTCTCCCATAGAAGTGCAGGGTCCCAAGGTTTTGGACCATATTCTATTGCTTTTCCAGGCTACAAGCATGGAGCTGGATGGGAAGTGGAGCAGCTGAGACATGAATTGGTTGGTGTCCATACCAATTGGGTTGGGTACTGGGCCCGCCGTTAACTTCCTTTCAATGTTAGTGAGTTACATTATAGTTTCAGAGGAATAGGTGCTTGGCCTGTATGTTACATTAGAATGCCTGGGTCTAATTCCTGATTCCACCTCCTGACACTAGCTTTTTGCTAATGCAGACCCCAGGAGCGAATGATAGCAGTTTAAGCTATTGGGTTCTGCTACTCATGTGGGAGACATGGAACATGTACCTGGGTAGTGGCCCAGCTCAAGCATTGTGGCTATATGAGGAGTGAACCAGTGGAGTAGAACTTTCTCTGTTTCTCTACTTTGCAAATAAACTTAAAGACCTTTTCATCTATAGAGTGAACAAAATTTTAAAGAAACATTATACCTTCAGTTGTGAAAAGGTAAAAGGTCACAACATGGAAAATATCACAGCTAACATCTTGGTTCAGAATGAATAAATCTAACATTTTTGCTTTATGTTTAGAAGATAATTGTCACAACCTGCTCAGCTTGAATCAGAGGATAAAAGATGTGCAATTAGAAAAAGAGTAAGAAACACAAGTAAAAATTAATGTGGGGGGGGACATGGGGTGGGTGGCAGATGTTACCTCTCTTTAAAAGGGTAGAGTCCTACTGAGTGCTTCCCAGCAGCTTGTATATTCTCTCCCAGGGTATCTTGTTTCATTGTCAAGCTGGAACAGGACTCTTTGCTGAGCACAGTTCCCTGGACTCATTTTCACAGGACACCTGCATCTGAGGGCTTCAATCTTTGGCCAATCGCTGCTTTGCATGCGGAATGCTCTAGCAGAGTCTGCTTCCAGACCACTAAATTCAGACCTTTCTCATTCCTCTTCATGCTGCTCATATCGTCCCCGGATGGTTTCCAGCATCTCTCTCCCCCCTCCCCCCACCTTTTTCTTTTTCTTGTGGATTAAAGATTTGTTGTTTTAACTGATAAACTGAGTTATTACTCATTCTCAGCAGACTATAATGGTAAGAACAAAAACAACACTCCCCAAAAGAGTAACACAAGTCACAAGAAGGTGAATATTAAACCAGCTAAAAGGATTGGCGTATGTAAAAGTTTGTTTTATACCATTCGATGTTTCTGCAGCCAAAAGGTCTTGATAAGCATTTTGAAGATATAGAATCTCTTTTTGTAAATGCAGCATTACGGGAATGTCACATCCTTTCCAAGTGAGCCTCAATTTGTTTTCAGAGATGAGCTGAATTACTATTTCAAATGCTAATGGCAGACAGACACTGGCAGGGTGGTGGATTCTGGCACAGGCACTGGCAGATCAGTGCACTAGCAGGCATGTGGCTGTGGATTACTCAGGGAAGGGAGAAGGGGATGTGTGGGAAGAGGTCCCATGTAGCAATACAATATAGGTGAGGAATGACTTCTGCAATGGGGCTGAGACCGAGTGATTTCAAAGAGGGAAACTGGAGAACCTTTCTGGGTTAGACCAGTGCACCTGCCCACATGGGAGACCTGAGCTGGGCTAGTTAGCACTGATCGCTGCCAACCATCACCCATGGGTGTACATGAAAGCTACGGCTTGGGGCTTCCCTGGCAGGGTTAGACCACAGTACCTGTCAATGAGTGTTAGAAAAGGGGATGGGTCACGTCAGGCTGGGCCATGACTCTAACCAGCACATGAGAGAACTGGGTCTCAGGGCAGATTCTGTGGGGGATTTGTGAACTCACCCCAGTGGGACTGCAATACCTGCTAGTTTGTTCAAGAACTGGGGGTGGTGATGGGCCAAACTAGGAATGACCATGAAACTCACCAGCACTCAAGGTAACTGGGGTTGGGAACAGGCCAGAGCTCCACGCCTGAGAAATTCATCAGTTAAGGATTGGAGTTCCCATTCAGCTTCTGGATTTATGTGTTGCCAATGAAGAGATGAAGCTTTGTCCTTGGAGGGGTGTCTGACAGGTGCAGCATCTATAGCCCTTCTAGTCATTCCTTGAGCCTAGTCGTGGGGAACTGCCGCGGTGCTCACTAACATCAGAGCAAGCGACTGAAGCTTAGGAGCAATTGAGAGCGGCAGCAAATCTCCTCCAAGAAAAGGAGTTGAGACACTACCAACAGCTGGTAGAGAACAGAATATCCTCTATTTGCCAGTGAAGGGAAAGTGAATCAGTGAGAGTGAGGCTTACTGTTAACTCCCATGAAAACACAACTTTTTGAAGACAGGCTCCATTAGGATAGACTGACTCCCACATAAGATTATCACCTACATGTGATGTCACTGATCACCTGGGGACTCTGATCAAGAGATGAGTAGTCTGTGGGAGCCTCCTGAATCCTCAGGCCCTTCAGTCTTAAAGCAAGGTCGTATTAAGGGATACCTCACTCTTCCCTTCAGAGTGGAGAACATTCCTTCTTATGATGGCCATTTTTGTTAGAGTCAGGACCAAGGGGCGTGCTTCACAGACGCATTCCATGCACCTGAGTCTCAGCTTTCTACACCTAAACCATTCTCGCCAGGTAGAATGCCTGCTGGATGAGTCTGAGGTCACAGCACAATGTTTAGAGCAACTTTTATCACATAAGCCTGCTGTTTGGACTGCCTCCCTCTTAGAAGTACCCTTTATTCTTCACCATTGTCTCTATTATTAAACACCTGAAATGTTACTTTTGCCATCTGGTCTATGGGCATATGGGGTTCCTGGGTCAGTTCCTGAAATTGTATCCTTAGAAGTGAAGTTCACAGGAATGGAAGCAGAATCACGCAAGGTTAAGAATCTGTGCACAACCCAAGAAAATAAAAATAGACACAACCCTTCACAAGCCCAGCTGTGCCAGGGGCATGATTTGAATCCCTTGATTAGTGAAATATGGCATTATCCCACAGAAGATGGGTTTTTCTACCTCAGCCAGCTTCAGGCCTCCATGGAAATTAATCCAGATTTGGCGTGTTTTTCCAGATTGAAGGTAGAATTAGTTGTCAGGGCTCCTGGCCTCGAAGGGAGCACTGTTTACTCAAGGTTTCAATAAACTAGGGGAGACAGTTGTTCCTTGCCTGAGATTCTTATCGCAGGTCTTTTGCTGGTGTCCCGAATGTATTTGGAGGCCTGAGCTGCTTCACTTAGGGTTTACAGCATCCTCCCACTTCCAACATGTGGTAGAGTGGAGTTAATGAGTCACTGCACTGGCTTGATTATAGAACCTGACAATGTTGGTTCAGTGTTGAGAGTCAAACTATCTTAGAGTGGCACCAACTCTGGAAAAACACAGCTGACAGACAGTGGAGGCCCATGTTCCACAGGCCAGTATCTACTGACCAAAATTCTCAATGTCACCATTGGCATTTCCCTAACACTAACATTTCCCTAACACTAACTTCCTGGCCTGCAATTATTAGCATTAAAACCAAGATAATTTCAGGGCTGGAATTTTGGTATATTGGGGAAAAGCTGCTACATGTTGTGCCAGCATCCCACA